CTCTGGGGAGTTAGTCAGCAAGGGGTGAGAAGCTAACGAATCTTTCTCTGCGTGTTTCTCAGTACTAGCTGCCAACCCTGCCTGTGCTCTGGCAAACAACAAAGCCGGCTCGCTGCGAACAATGGTGAGCTAAGCTCCAGTGCTCGCTGCTGGGAACTAAGGTGCGCCTTCTGGAAAGTACGACCTACCTTCGAGAGGATCTGCCAGATCGAAGCCAGAAACTCCGTTCAAGAAACCCAAATACCCTCTGCATCTCCACTAGGAAACAGTGGTGCTGTTTTCTAAGGACAGCATGTTTGCAGCCACAACGAAACTGTGATAAAAGTCAGTGCAGACAAAGCTCAGCAACTGCAGGGCTGGGTCATTAAGGCCCGCACGCTCCTGCTTCCAAGACATAAGGAGCTTTATAAAGAAAGAAGTGCCAAGTGCCTTGATGCAACATTGCTTGAAATAAACCCAGCAGGTTTTCAAAACGGGGCGCTGTTAACACCTGTCTGCACTGATGCTTGCATCACTACCACCAGTGCAGGGCACAATCAATGAGTACAAAATGTTCCAGAAGGTTTAGCAGAGGCTTAATTTCAAGCCATGCTTCTCCTCTGTAAAAGAATTTGGAGAAAAGTATGTTAAATTTGGTTTATTGCCAAAACTGCAAAGCTGTTTTTGTCAGAAAATATTTCCTTTGCTACTGCACACACATTACCATCATGCCTCCTTGAGTTAGGCTGATAAATTTATTTAAATGATAAGAAGAGAATGCAGAGCAACTTTTGTGTAACGACAGGGGAGCTGCACAGATCCTGCTACCAGACCATTGAAGACTGCRAATGAGATGAATTCCCTTTGTCTCACTTGTAGCCCTGCCTCTCCAAAGCACATGGACAAAACCACAACAAACCTCTTGCCAGAAAACACCAGGGAAAGGCTTCGGTGCTCCCCTCCAGCACCGCGTGAGCCTTCGCTCCAGCACCAGCAGCCACTGGCATCTAACTGGATGCGTTCTTGCCCTGGCAGAAGGGGCTAGGAAACCAGGAGACACTTTGTTTCCATAGACCAACCTCCCCAAAAAGCAGAGCTACCTACTCAGTCACCGTCTCGCAAACCTCATTCCCAGCCATGGGCACCCCACAGAACTGCTTTAAGGTGTACACCAGACACCGGCCTGGGAAGTCAGCTCATAACCCACCCAAAAGGGACACTGTTTCTTTAGTTGCTGCTCATCGCCCCATGAATTCAACTTTCACAGGCGCTACTCAGCTGCAGCAGGCTGAACAGCTCGAAACAGGCAGCGAGCAGACCTAGATTTGCTAAGCTCTTCCACATCTATATTCAGATGCTGACAGCAGAAACTCGAAAAGAGAACATGGCTCTGTTTCCTCTGGGCCAGGGCTCAACTCTTTCACTTTTGAAAGCACCGATTCCAACACGCATCACTGAGGACCAGGCAAATGCCTAAGGAGCGCATCCTGTCCCGTACATCTGCTCTGCGAACCTAAAATTAATACAACAGATATAAAAAGAATCAGGGCTTCCAAAATTTGTAAATGAAGCCATACAGAGACCTCTGTGTATCTGCAAAGCTGCCYGAATGATATTCCCTAAGCTTTCAAGAATAACGAGGGTCTCCTCGTTATCAGGGCTGGGAACATTTAACATTACCAGGGCACAAACACTGCTCTGGCAGCACACGAACTACGTGCTTGCTAAGCTACAMTGAAAAAATAACAATTTTTCATGGGGACTTCCCAGGGTGTAAATCCAGTGAATCTGTTTCAATCATACAAAGAAGTCATTTTCCTTAGAACTTCTGGAGGTCACTGCAACGCGAAAAGTCACCTTGCCAACGTGTCCTTCTCRAACTCACGCTCCAGATCATTGCGTCAACTTCTGCAAAAAGAAATCCCGCACCCGAAGCGGCAGGGACGCAGGAGAACCCCACGGAGCCCAGGAAGGAGCCCATGCCAAGGCCAGCGCGCAGGCTCAGCGGCGAGGCTGCCTCTCACGGGAGCCATGTTTATTTTACACGTTTTCTTCTCTGCTAACGAAACGGGCAGYAAAAGAAACAAGGCGCCCAGCAGCAGCCCCGTACGAAGCAGATCCTGCTGCCAAGCATCACAAACGCACCGCTCATCAATTCCGGGATTTAAATGCCCCTGGGAACACCGGGACGCTTCYGTCAAGCGCAGCAGAATTCTGGGTGCTGCGAGAGACTTCCTTAGCTCAGCGTAAGGCACATGTGCTGCCCCTACAAACCAGTTCACGAGTCACCAAGTCCCCTCATCTCCTCTTCGGGGTCTGAAGGTCTTTCTAGCATTTTCCTACTGCATTTCCCCAGCTTTGCAAGGGGCCTAGTAACAGAACATTGGCCTAGAGGAGCTCTAAACATAAGTGTCAAATAGGAACAGACGATTTAATTTTCTAGGAGAAAACTGGAACGGGCACTGTGAGCACAATCTGTATTTGCCTCATCTCTGTAATTTTAACAGAGAGAAACAAGAAAGATTGTGTAGCCCAGCAGATGTGCTGGATGCAGGTGATATGTGCACACCATGATGATAACAAGGGAAAAACAGAAGAGGAAAAGCACGAGCGTGGCCCTGCTCGGTGCCCTGCGTCGGGCAGCGTATTTTAACGCTGCACAATCCAGCGCGACAGTCGGAAGGCAGCGCGATGCAGCCGCACTCTTAGGCGAAGGAGTAACGTGACCAGCTCTATGTGACACAGCAAGACGCAAACGTAAACAGCAAGTTGCTCTGGATTTGGTTAAGTTAGGCTTATATCACCATAGACAATKACAGACCACAAACTTATCTGAACAGATGGGGTTTTTTCACTTTTTTTTTTTCCCCTTCTTTACCCGGCACAATTAAAGGATTCTCGATTTTCCCCATTAAGATGAGAGCTTTCCAGGTGGCATGTGCAGAGCAGTCCATCTCCTCCCAACGATCAATACCCCCAACGAACCACCACGCTAGGCCGGCACCACTTCTCGCAAAGCGCCGGCACGTACGGTGACCAGAAACCCGATGTCACATCTGGCAGGGTTATTTAGTGTTTACAGAGGCTGCCTGGAAAAATTAGGATCTTTCCCGAACAAGACGCTCGCCGAAAACTCCCGTGTTTGGCCGCTGCGCCCGCGGGAACGGGCGCGGGGCGATTCCCTCCCGGTGAAATGGGCCCGGTGCGGGCCCAGGAGGAAATGGAGCCCCGCGAAGGCGGCCTGGGCCCCGGGCCTGGCGCGGCCGGGCCGCGCGGCGCGGGAGCCA